AGGGTTAGGTTTAGGTTTAGGGGTAGGATCAGGGGTTAGGGTTAGGGCTAGGGTTAGGGTTAGGGTTAGGGGTAGGGATAGGGGTAGGGTTAGGGTTAGGGTTAGGGATAGGGTTAGGGGTAGGGTTAGGGTTAGGCGTAATAACTTCTTATAGCATACATTATACAAAGTTATACGAACCTCCCATCCGCACCTACACACACACACACACACACACTCCCCCCGCCTCCCCCTTCCGCAGGCAAGACGGTGAATGTGGAGGGTCGCGCTCCAGGAGCAGCGCCCAGCGCGGCGCCCAGCGTGTCGGAGGCCAGCAACCTGGCGCCCGCCCCCGCCGTGCCCGGCACCAAGCCGCCCTACTACGTGCTGGGCGCCACGCCGCAGTCCGGGCCGGGCCTCCCAGCGGCGGCCCTCTGCCCGGCGCCCGGCGCAGGACTGGCGGGCGGTGCGCCCGCGCTCTCCGCGCCGGGGACCGCCGCTCCGGGACCGCCGCCGCACCCGCCGCCGCCCGGCAGCACGGCCTCGGTGCGGCCCCAGGCGGCGGCGGCGGCGCTGCTCTCCGAGCTCACCATGGCCATGCACAAGAAGGAGGCGCTGGTGGCGCAGCTGAACCTGATGAATGACGAGGCGGCGGCGGGGGTGCACACCGACTCGGCAGGCGGCGCGCAGAACCCGGGCTTCGTCCGCGCCTTTGCGTCGGTGATCGTGCAGCTCAAGGCCGTCAGCGACCGCATCTTCGAGAAGTTGCAGGAGCTGCGCGACGACGGGGGCCCTGGCGGCGCCGGCCCCGACGCCTACGGCCCGGCGCCGCGCGGCGACGACGGCGGCGGCGAGGCCCAGGGCCCAGCCCTCTCGCCCGCCGACCTGGCGCCCGAGGCCCTGGCCGCCGCCTCGCTGGAGGCCGCGGAGCGCGTGGTGGAGGCCTGTCGCGGCCAGCTGGCCGGCGGCGCCAGGCGCTCGGGGCAGGCGACTGGCGAGGGTGGTGAAGATGATGCGGCTGGTGGAGGAGGCGACGAGGCACCTGCAGGCGGAGGCACGAGGGCAGGCGCAGGCGGGGACGCCGGCGGCGATCTCGCGGCGGGCCCGAGCACGGGCGCGGAGGAGCCTGCGAGCCCGGATGCCGCCGCCGCCGCCGCCGCCCAGCGCAGCCGCGGCGGCGTGGACTGGGGCTCCGCGTCCGGCCGCCGCCTGACGCGCCTGATCCAGAGCTGCGTCCAGACGCTGCTGCTGCTCCAGCGCGGCACCACCGCGCCCGTGCCCATGGCCGCGCTGGCGGCCGCGTTGGACGTGGCCATCGCCGGGGTCCGGCCCCACGCGCCCGCCAACGAGGGGCTGCTGACGGAGGTGCGGGGGGCGCTGTCCGCGCTCAAGTCCCAGATCCTGGCGCCCGGCGCGGGCGGGGCAGGGTGACGCCGCGCTGCCTTTTCGCCGCTGGCCCCTAGCGCCACGACATCCGACCGACCAGACCCTCCAGGGGATCCCCGGCTGAACCCTTCCCCTTTGGACGCATACCCACCTTGACCCAACCTGTCGCTATTCCTGCAACCCCAGGAGGGGCGCCTCACACAGGTCCCTGCCCCGTCTCCAAGTCACATCAGCCCTCAGCGCCGGCTGGCGATGAGGGGCAGGGGCCATCCAATCACCACACCACCCACATACACTGACGCACATGTGATTCGAGCTGCGCAGCCTGCGGCGGCCATGCAATTTCCCTAGTCCCCAAGATGTGAGTGTGTCCCCACGGTACCGGTAACGAAGATGTAATTGACAGCGGGGTCTACCAAGGGTTACAGGCATGCCGACGGCTGCACTGCCTGCAGAGCTTGCCGGTGGAAGACTCTAACCCATCAGGCGGCTTGCTGGAAGGGGAGGAGGTTGCCGGTGAGGAAGTGCTGCATGATGGGCAGCCGAGACAAGACTTCCGCCTGGTACATCTTGATCATGCCGGCGTTGACCTGGGGTGTGGCGGGGGATGCCAGGCCTGAGGGAGGGCGGGTGGGTGATGCTGCGGCGCCTGCTCAAGTGCCAATGACAAGTGGGCGGCAGCGTAGAAGCTTGACATGGGACGGCTGAACCACCGCTCGCAGCAAGCTCATCCCAAACCCTCAACAAAACACCCGCCCCAGGCCCACCCTGGTCCAGGAGGGCAAGCCTGAGATGTCGTTCAGCATGGGCGAGGTCTCTGCCAGGTGGCCCTTCTTCACCTGACAGAGGGTGGGGCAGACAGGCACACCGTGTCAGCACATGTTCCGTGGCAGGAGATCCCCCCCGCAGCATCCTTGCGGCATGAAAGTGGAGGAATCGACACCCCACAAACACAAGGAGGCCCTAGGCTGTGCTACCGAGCCTCACTGTGCCCTTTCCCTGGCCAGGAGGGCTTGCCTGCTTCACAAAGGCCACCGCAGACAGGTACATGTACTCCTCCTTCCCATCCTGAAGCACCGCAGGGTTGTGGATGCTCCCCGGTGTAATGTCCCCATGGTCCACCAGCTGCAGAGGAGGGGATGCGAGAAAGAGGATCAGGGTCCCTGGCTCTCACCTGCAGTTTCACGGCAGTGGTCGGGTGCGACCAGCACAGCAGGTTGTTTTTGGCAGGCATGTCGCGCACCCGAGAGCCCCTCTCCAGGCATGCATCGGGCAGGACCGGTGAGGATGCATATGACTCCTCACTTTGCCTCGACATGGGCTCCACCAGAGAATACACAGAGCAGACATCCCTGTGCACACCCCTCACCGCACCTGTGCGGAACCCCAAAGGAAAGGGAGGATTTGGTAATCGTCCAGGCCCCAAACCCCATGCGACCCGGCGGGCTCCAGCCAGTATGTGGTCTGCAGACGGCGCATGAGGGCCAGGTACGCCGGGAAGACTGCGAGGACTAAGCCCGCCGCATCTCCAGGTTCCAATACTCCCAGCCGGGCCAAGCAGAAGAGGAGGCCAGCAAATGTCGTCTCATGCCCTGAATCGTAGAGAGCGATCTGGTGTTCACTCCAGGGTGCTGTAGAATGGTGCGTCGTGACGTTGTACACACTGCTGGGCAACCAAAAGCCGCTGAATGCACATCTGGTATCAGGTGTCTGACCGGTGGGCTGCCCCACACATTCCCTCACACCTGTGCCATAGTCTATGCGAGTCGAGTTTCCAAAGCTATCCTGCAGGTAGGACACCAGCTCGGGAAGGGCAGCAGCTTGGGCGCCTGACAGGAGGGGCTCTAGAAGCTGCGGTGCAGCTGTGCGCATGCCCTCCATCCAGTCCCTGCAGAACAGTGGTGGTCGGGGTGGGAAGTGGTCGCACTGGCACAAGACACGCAACCAAACCATACATTACCAGGCGGCCAGTTCACTGCCAACATGCGCATCATCCCTGCGTGCCTGAACGCGGGGTTTCCATATCGCAGGGATCGCTCAGCGGGGGGGTGGGAATCCACGAGGCGCTGTAGGGATCCCAGAATTTCCAGCAGGGCTTCGATCGCGGGACTCCTCTGTGGTGAAGCGGGTTCGCAGGTGCCGCTGAAGCTGACAGCATTCAATGGTGGCAGACGACGTCGGTAGTTGTGAGATGCCTGCATCAAGGACAGAGCCCAGCCTGGGACATCACAAAGCATGGAGTGCATGGCTCCCCTCTCTCACCCGCTGACTTGATGTCAGACTGCGACCCAGTGCCGCCTGATTGAGGCACAGCAGAAACCCCAGAAAGCTGGACATGGATTCTGACTTGAGGAACTGCTCCAGAGCATCCAGGGACAGTATTTCCTTGCGAGCAGCACCCCACGCGAGGTCCTCCGCTGATTCGGGTAAGGGTTCGGGGAAGCGGGCGCTCGCCCTGATGACAACGTCCAGGCGTCGGGTCTCTGACTTGGACCAAGGTGCATGTGTGGTGGACGACTCCGTCTGTCTTGCAGTCTGAGATCCCGGCACAGCCGCTGTAGCCCACGGCGCCCGGGTGGGCTCCATGCAGGATGAAGGCAACGCCCAGCCGACAGAGCTACTGGTGTAGGACAGGATCCATCGGCATGCTAGATTAGTGACACCTTTATCAATTCGATCTCTGAATAATATCTCAAACCTGATCCTGCAGCACCTGATGCTCTGCAAGCGCAGTTACTCTGTCTGTGGAATGCGGACTGTGCGCGCGCGCATCTCCGACACGCATTGAAAGGAGTCGCGATACCAAGCCTGCTTTGTCCTTGCCTTTTCGTCTTCACAGCTTATTGCGGCCAACTGAGTGTATTCTCGGTACATTACATTACTCCAGAATGAGCAGCGATCACCACATCGGTGTGGTGCTGGACCGAGTGGCCGCGGACCTCTGGTTTGTGTACAACCAGCTTACACCGGGAGCGTTGACCCGCGTCGGTCCCCTGCTTCGCGACATCTACTATGATCTTGATGCGCTTTCTACTGCCTTGCTCATCTGCCTGGCGGTCGCGACCCTGTGTCACACCATCTCGACCCTCACCCGGAACCAGAGCGTGGTACGATGGTGTCAGCGAGTTCTGCGAGTGCATGCACTCCTCGTCCAGCCTCCAAGAGCTCATCCTGGACCCATTATATGCATTCCAGGTGGACAAGCTGTGGAGCATTCTGCCCGTGGGGTACACCTGGCACTTCCTGTGGCGCAGCCACCTGAGGGACTTGCAGGGGCAGTTGGTGGTGGACCCCCGCCTCGTTCTGATCGCCCTGCTCGTCACCGTCTGGGGCTCCAGGCTCACCTTCAATTTTTGGCGCAAGGGTGGCTACGCACTTCATGCGGAAGACTATAGGTGGGTGATTGGCATCTGAGGGGTATGCCTGCGTCGATGGCCTGGAAGCTATGCGCCGTGTGATTGAGAGGGGCATGGGCAAGCGCGTCATGAGCGGCACTCGTTGCCTATGAACCCTATGTTTACTTGAATAGAATGATCAGAGACCCACACTGGCAACTTCTCCTCTCCTCTCCAGTCACACCTCACACCTCTCCCATCCCGCTCGCAGGTGGGAAGTTGTGCGGCAGGGCGGTTCCGGCGTCCCAGTCTCCATCCTCCCCGTATTTAACCTGTTCTTTGTGTCCTTTTACCAAAACATTCTCCTGCTGCTCATCACTTTGCCTGTCTACGCCGCCTGGCGGCATGCGGGCACTCCCCTCAACCGAATCGATGCTTTGGCATTCCTCCTCTGCTCTGGCTTCCTAGCGCTGGAGACTGCTGCGGACCACCAGATGTGGAACTTCCAGGTAACTACTTCCCAGGAGTGCGTATCGCGTGGAGTCCTTGCAATGCTTGATGGGTCGCCCCTGCACATCTCAGCGGGGGGTGCTGGGGCCGGCACCACAGCCCTCATCAACACTGCGGGGCATCCAAGGCTGGGCTCTCTCATCCATGTCCACACGGCATGTCGTTGCAGGTAGCAAAGCATGCTAAAGCAGCAGCTGGCAAGCGTCTGACAGGCGACTATGGCCGGGGCTTCCTGACCTCGGGGTTGTTTGCTTACAGTCGTCACCCCAACTTTTTTGCCGGTGAGAATGCTGATGGTCAGGCTGCTGCCTTCTGCACTTCACGCCATGTACTGCTGTCAGCACCTACTAAGTTCACACCCTACTCCCTCTTGGTTCCTATCAATCCCACAGAACAAGCATTTTGGGCTTCCATCTACCTGTTTGGTGTGGCTGCCTCCGGCTCCTGGATCCACTGGAGCGGACTGGGTGTGCTGCAGTTGATTGCACTATTTCATTTCAGCACCAGCCTGACAGAGGACATAACAGCACGGAAGTACTCCAAGTGAGGATGCAGGTTTTGGGGAGGGATCAGAACACCTGACCAGAGCACGGTCGAATGAATCCAATTGGCTCCATTTGCTCATCCACCAGGCGCCTTGCCTCCCTCAGGTACAAGGCATACCAGGCGTCCACCTCGCGACTCGTCCCCTGGGTCCCGGGGAAGCCCAAGTGGCGCTGAGCAAGGCATGACCAGCAAGATTTTTGAGGAGTGCGCTGACGTGCAGCAATGGATGCACATTGCACGGTGCTCGCTGTGTCAGCCTGGGGGCACGAGTGAAAGCCGCTTGCCACCAATTTTGCTTTGAATAGCACCCTTGACTCACAAGGTGCCCATCTCATGACGACACGTTGTTGCCCCATGTTGATCCTGATAGTTGAGTTCTTGAGAATTGTTTGCCGGTTGACGGAGGAAAATCTTGGATTCTCGCGCACGTGGCCCATCAGGCCATCAGATTACGCAGCGGTTCCCAAGCTGCGAGGGCAAACGGCTCCCCGTGGGCCCCGAACATCCCTTCAAATATTAGTTACATCACCACCTATTTGACAAAGAGAAGGTAGCATCGCTTGAACCCCAGAGCCTCGTTCCCCGGGGCGAAAACCGAGACACGATGCACTTCGCCAGTACGTACTTCCGGAACCTCCCATTGGCCATTGCATAAATTTTGGGCACCGATATACGTCATTAGGATTGCATCTGCATGCATGAAGGACCCCGCGCATGCCTCACGCTTTCCCTCCCCATGCACATGCCCGCAGTGAGCGGCAAGGGCGCGGTGGTGGCGCGTCCCTGCCCGCGCCCTGCCTTCCATGCCATCAGTGCCCCCAGCTGCCCCGGCCTGAGGAAGAGTTTCTCGGCCCGCCCGACTCCCTCCCAGACACGGGGCCCCCTGCCCCTGGCCCGGGTGGGTGGTGGCTGGTCAGGGGCATTCAGTGCTACGTGCTTGGCATTGTAACCCCGTCCCTGACCACCCTGCGCCATTGCCCTCGGTCCGATGTCTCACCTCTACACGTCTGGAGGCCATCACCCGAGCCCCTTGAGAACACGGCTCATCCAATCCTCTCAACCCCTCCCCCGCCCCACCCCGCCCCGCCCCCAAAATCCGTACCCCCAGGCATCCCCCGACACGCGCGACACCCCCACCGTCCCTCTGGGCGGCGAGGAGGGGTACGATGTGTACGTCTACGAGGCGGAGCCTCTGGAGGAGGGCGTGGCCAAGCACACGCTGTCCGTGTTTGTAGGGGACGAGGCGGGAATGATCAACCGCGTGGCGGGCGTGTTTGCGCGGCGCGGCGCCAACATTGAATCGTTGGCGGTGGGGCTGACCCAGGACAAGGCGCTGTTCACCATCGTGGCCACGGGGACCGAGGCCACAGTGGCCAACCTGTGCAAGCAGTTGGCCAAGCTGGTGAACGTGCGGTATGTGGAGGACATCACCGCCTCCGAGCACTTCCAGCGCGAGCTGTTCATCGCCAAGGTGGCGGCGCCCCCCGGCGCCACTCGCACCGAGCTGCAGCAGGTGGCCGAGGTCTTCCGTGCCCGCGTGGTGGACGTGGCGGAGCGCACGCTGACGCTCAGCGCCACGGGCGACCCGGGCAAGATCGCCGCGCTGCAGCGCGCGCTGGGCCGCTTCGGCATCGTGGAGCTGGTGCGCACGGGGCGCATCGCGCTCAAGCGCGGCGAGAACCTGTTCACTGGGCCGCAGGTGTACCGCAAGCGCCCCGCCATCAGCAACGCCGACGCCGGCGAGCCGGTAAATGTGGAGGCCTCCATGGACGGCGACGTCTACACCTCCTCCGGCTCAGGGTCTGCTGCCCACGAAGGTGTGTGATGAGGGGGGGAGAGCGATGTGTGTGAGAGGGGGTGTCAAATTTGGCGGGCAGGGTGGGGGGAGGGGTTGGTGTCTGAACGACCCTCCCTTCCGCCCTCCTTTGGCCTCGTTCCTCAGGCAGACGCCAGCCGCACCCACCCACCCACACCTCTCACTCTCGCTCTCGCAAACAGGTGTTTGGAACGTGCGCAACGTGCTCGACGCGTACTATGAGAACGAGGGCAGCGAGTTTGAGCCCTACACGCTGCTGCTGGAGGTGCAGGACCGGCCAGGCGTCCTGAACCAGGTGCGAGCAGGGTTGGGAATGGAACGTGGGACACGGCATGACAGGTTGTGGGTCGGGCCGTCTGGCTCGTGATGCAGGAGCCGGGGCTCACTCAATTCGACCGGCTGCCTGCCGCCCGCCGGCCCGCATGCGCGGTCGAGTGGGCGGGAGTCTGGGCGCAAGGGAGGGTTGGTGCGTCCGGGGCTTGGTGTCCGCGCCAGGATCGTCCAGCCCGAGCCCGCGCACCCCTCAATCTCACCTCCCCTTTCCTCCTTCCCACCCCCGCCGCCAGGTGACGGGCGTGGTGGCGCGGCGCGGGTACAACGTGCAGTCGCTGGCGGTGGGCAACAGCGAGCGAGAGGGGTACTCGCGCATCACCATGGTTGTCCCCGGCAATGCCACGGGGATCGAGAAGCTGATGAAACAGGTGCAGAAGCTGGTGTACGTCGACCGCGTGACAAACCTGAATGCCAACCCCTTTGTCGCGCGGGAGCTGATGCTGATCAAGGTGCGGGCGACCGCCGCGCAGCGCGGCGAGCTCCTCAACCTGGCCCAGATCTTCCACGGCTCGGTGCTGGACGTCTCCCTCACCACGCTGACCATCGAGGTTACGGGGAAGGAGGACAAGATGCGCGCTCTCCAGTCCGTGTTGGAGCCCTATGGTGGGTCGTGGTGTTGGGGCTGAGACAGGGGGGGGAGGCGGAGGAAGGGGTCGGTGCGAATGTCGGCCAGCCACCTGTTTGGGAGGCAGTGCCATGGCAGGGGTCCCGGGAAGAATGGCGTGGCCATCTCACATTCATCCAGCCACTCCCCTCCCACCGGCCCCTCCTCACTCGCCTCGCTGCTCAGGCATCCTGGAGGTGGCGCGGACGGGGAGGATATCGCTCGTGCGCGATTCGGGCGTGGACACCAAGTACCTCTCCTCGGTGGCGGGGAACAAGGTCATGCTCTAGAATGGCGCCGCAGGGCGCTCGTTGGGGGAAAGGCACGGCGCGTGCATGGCTAGCGCCCCCCATGCCCCTCCCATCCCCATGCATGCGGTGGGTCGCCATGCCAGAGACATGTTACAGAAGAGAAATGCAGCGAATTCATCACTCTTTGGGCAACTGAAGGCGGGCACAGCGGGGCAAAGATCCCCTCTGAGGACAGGCAGGGATGGTCCGGGGGAGAGAAGGTGTTCGACAGGGGCAAAATATGTCTGCTCAGGCGCAGCCGGCAGTGCCAGGCCGAGGTACGAGTGCACCTGCGACGTCAGCATTCCCTTCAAAAGCTCAGGCTCAGGCAGAGGCCTGCTCCTTCTTCTTCAGCTGCTCCTCTGCATCCTCCGTGGCCTTGTTGGGGTGCTCAGACATCTTCTCAATCAGGGCCCGCATCTTCAGGATGTAGAACATCTCCAGGTAGCGCTTGGCCTCACTGTGCTCCAGATTGGAGATGTACTTCCTGTTGTAATACGTCAAGGGGGGTGGACAAGAGGAATGAGGATGGGTTGTTCGGTGGGCTGAGGGCTGGGCAGCGGGCCTGCCCGGCTCAATCCACATGCCGGAGCCCTGCTCCAGTACAAATCCCCAAGTTTCGCTCACCAGAAGGTGTAGACCTGGTTCAGCGTCATGAGACGGTTGGCGTAGATCTCCCAGGTGTACCTGCATTGAGAGAGGGGGGAGGGGGGGAGGAGGGAAATGGGGGGATGTTGGGTGTGGGATATAGGGATGAGGCGGCCTGCCACCGGTCACACTCTGAATGTTCCAAAGCAGAGTCTTGCAAACATCAGCCCTCCCTCCCCTTCTTCCCTCAAAAAGGCCAAGCCTCACCTGGAGAAGATGCGCTCCAGCCCCCCCTTGCTGATGCGGTCCCACTCGTCCGGCTTCTTGGCGGTGGCCTCGAAGAAGTCGGCGATGACGTTGGCGGAGGCCTCGCCGTGGAAGGGGTCGATGTGGAACCCAGAGCGACGGTGCTTGATGATCTCGGCCGGCCCGCCGCGGTTGGTGGCAAAGGTGGGCAGGCCGCAGGTCATGGCCTCGATGACCGTCAGGCCAAAGGCCTCGTACAGCGCGGGCTGCACGAAGGCGCCGCGCCGGTCGGCGATGAAGCGGTACAGCTCGCCGTTGCGCACCCGGTTCTTCTGCGCGTTGATCCAGCGGAACTTGCCGTCCACGCGCCCCGAATTCATGATGTCCAGCATCTTCTGGCACTCCACCGCCTCCTCGCGGTCCATGGTCTTGGACGGGTCGGTGACCCCGCCCACGATGATCAGGTTGACCAGGCCCTGCAGGCGCTCACTGCCGGCATACCACTCCGCCAGCCCCGTCAGGTTCTTGACCTTGTCCAGCCGGGCCATGGAGAAGAGGATGGGCTTGCCGGGGTCGGACAGCGTCCCCATCGCCTCCTTGCTGTTGGGGCTGAACAGCAGCTCCTCCAGGTCGGCGTGCAGGGAGGTCAGGCGGCGCGAGGACTCGGAGAAGGGGAAGTAGATCTCCGAGTCGGCGCCGGGGGAGACGATGTTGAACTTGGGCGAGTAGATGTCGATGCCCTGAGAAGGGATTTGAGGGAAGGAGAGGATGAGGGGAGGCGGGGGGGGGGGGGATGGGGGGTCAAATGCAATCGAGGGGACTATGACGGTGCATGCTGTGTCCATGCCCATTGGTCATGCCAGCATGTGTGAGGCAAGGAAAGAAGGGAGTGAGGTCACAGGAGCGGGGGCGCACTGATTCCCTGCCCCAGTGCCAAAGAATGCCCCCCACAATTATATAAACTTAAGTTGCCTCACATTCACGACGCGGTAGAGGTGCGGCATGGTGAAGGACTGGTACGATTCGTACTGCCCAACCATCTCATCATGCCCAGCAATCTCCTGTGAGTGTTGAGCGGACATTGGATGTGCGGATCAGGACTACAGGCAACATTCCAAACGATTATTTGGGAGGCCGCAATGCATCCCTGTTGGTGGTGAGCAGCCCAAGGCACACAGGATTCCCCTGCTCCCCCTGCAAGGCCAAGACAACCTTCCGTCACCTGGTAGGTGGAGGTGATGATGAAGTCCGAGGTGTTCATGGCGATAATGTCGGCCGTGAACTGACAGGAGAAGTGATACTTCTTGTCCATGCTCTCCCAGTAGATGTCTGTGTGAGGGGGTTGAAGAGCGCGTATGAGTACTGCAATGGGTCGCTGAGCCTCCGCATGATCCGCAGCCAGCCACCCCGTATAAACTCCGAATCCCTCCTGCACTCCACCACTTGCCTGCATCTTCGTACTTGGTCTTCTCCAGGGCATGCGCGATGGTGCACTGGGTGATGTTCATGCGCTGGCTCATCAGGGTCGCCACCAGGTTCCCATCGCTGCACGGTGGTCCACAGAGGGTGCCATGAGTCGGCGGGCAGGCTGCCAGGCCCATCGGATGGAGCTGTAAAGGCATGAAAATCACTCCCCCCCCCCCCCCCCCAAAAAAAAAAAACCTTTGCTGGCCGCTCATGGAATCGACCATGCGGCCTCCCACATCCTTGCCTGTAGTTTCCTATGAGCAGGTCTGGCTTCCCTCCCAGCTCCGCCAGGATCTCCTTGCTGCTCTCAATGGTGAAGCGCTCCAGGTAGGGCCAGACGTCGAAGCGTGAGATCCAGTGGTCCAAGACGCGACTGAGATGGAGGAGGGAGGGAGGGAGTGGATGGGTGGGCAGACAAATGGTTGGACATCCTTGCAGAGTGTGGCAGAGTCTGTGGTCAACCATATTGCAGGCTCACAGAGCGCAGTCAGGCATACTCTGCTCCGCCAGACCTCACACAGGGGTAAGGTGCCCTCCTGCTTGGTTCACAAGTCTCCCCACATTCTCCACACAAAACACGCTCACCCCTGGGCATCCCTGAACGGCACACGCAGGATGCGGCAGTACTGGGTCCCCGCGACAGGCTCCAGGCGCTCGTTGCAGCTCGTCCCGTGCGAGTCTGGGATGAGGCGGGTCAGGATGACAATGTCGGGGTGTGCATTCTGTGACGGGATGGAAGGGAGGAATGAAGGTAAACGACCGAGGGGGTGTCATCTGGGCGTTTGAGAAATGGCTGGAGAGTCCCCCCAGCCTCTGCAATGCCCGTGTCACTGTCCTCAGACTCAGGGTCTGGAGCTCTCTTTCCTCCCAACAAGCGTCTCCCTGAGCGGCACTCGGATCCCCCATCCTTCCGAAAAGGAAATCACAGGTATCTCCCACTCACCTCCAGCCCCGCGAGTGCCAGGCGCTTGCCCATCTCCGCCTCCAGAGCTTTGACCTGGTCCAGGATGTACACCACCTGCCCACCCGTGTCGGGCATGCCCAGCACCTTTACGCTGGCCGCTCATGGAATCGACCATGCGGCCTCCCACATCCTTGCCTGTAGTTTCCTATGAGCAGGTCTGGCTTCCCTCCCAGCTCCGCCAGGATCTCCTTGCTGCTCTCAATGGTGAAGCGCTCCAGGTAGGGCCAGACGTCGAAGCGTGAGATCCAGTGGTCCAAGACGCGACTGAGATGGAGGAGGGAGGGAGGGAGTGGATGGGTGGGCAGACAAATGGTTGGACATCCTTGCAGAGTGTGGCAGAGTCTGTGGTCAACCATATTGCAGGCTCACAGAGCGCAGTCAGGCATACTCTGCTCCGCCAGACCTCACACAGGGGTAAGGTGCCCTCCTGCTTGGTTCACAAGTCTCCCCACATTCTCCACACAAAACACGCTCACCCCTGGGCATCCCTGAACGGCACACGCAGGATGCGGCAGTACTGGGTCCCCGCGACAGGCTCCAGGCGCTCGTTGCAGCTCGTCCCGTGCGAGTCTGGGATGAGGCGGGTCAGGATGACAATGTCGGGGTGTGCATTCTGTGACGGGATGGAAGGGAGGAATGAAGGTAAGCGAACGAGGGGGTGTCATCTGGGAGTTTGAGAAATGGCTGGAGAGTCCCCCCAGCCTCTCCAATGCCCGTGTCACTGTCCTCAGACTCAGGGTCTGGAGCTCTCTTTCCTCCCAACAAGCGTCTCCCTGAGCGGCACTCGGATCCCCCATCCTTCCGAAAAGGAAATCACAGGTATCTCCCACTCACCTCCAGCCCCGCGAGTGCCAGGCGCTTGCCCATCTCCGCCTCCAGAGCTTTGACCTGGTCCAGGATGTACACCACCTGCCCACCCGTGTCGGGCATGCCCAGCACGCCCTGCTGGCCAAAGTAGCCGTGCGGGGAGAGGATGACCACCTTGAACATGATGGGCAGGCGGGCCAGGAAGCGCTCCAGCGACTCGGCGTCCGGGGCCTGGATGATGTCCAGCAGCAGCTGGAAGGTCTCGCGCACTCGCCCCACGGTGTTGCCCCAACCGGGCAGGAAGCCCATCTCCTCCAGGTCCACCGCCGACTCCAGCGCCTCGTCATCCTCGAAGCGGTTCAGCGCGCGGTCGGCGCGGATGAGCGCGCTGCGCAGCTTCTGCACCGAGTTCACGCGGTGGCTGAGCAGCAGGCTCTCCCCGCCGTGCTTGAAGCTGCGCAGGAAGCCAAGGAGCAGCTGGCTACCCTCCGCGTTCTGGTTGGGCGAGAACATCTTGGCCGACAGGTTCTTGTTCAGGAAGGACACGCCCTGCCCGATGTGGCTCTGCAGCGTGATTTTCGGTACGTGGGAGGAGAAGGGCTTCATGTCCACCTCCAGCACGAAGGGGTCATAGCCCTCGATGGCTGCGGGAGGGGGGGGGGGGGGTGATTGGGGGGGGTGAGGCGGGGGCTGAGGGTATGACAATGGTGCACGATCAGCCACCATGCTCAAGGTAAGGGGAAGAAGGGGAGAGTTCATGTCTGCACTCGGTTCAGGGTGCAACCCCATCCCCTTAGGAAGTAGGGCCAGGGGGGTTGGCTTTGCGCTGCACAAGCATGAACCCCAGGGTACGATGTGCTGCGAACCACTCATTCTCAGCGCGGCCCCTCCCTTCCCTTCCCCCTGGCCAGGCTCACTCATGGTCTCATCGCGCAGCTCAAGAGGCACCAGTTTCTCCTTGAAAGCCAGGTAGTGGCTGGCCGTCATCTCCTGTGGTCGAGGCGAAAGGAACCCCCGACAGAGGGAGGTCAGAGGATTGGCGGTGCTGGAATTTCCAGACTCCGACTACGCGATGTGATAATCAGCCATGCATATGGCCTATACGCTGTCATTGCAATGGCTGAAGGGTGGCGGGGAGATGCACGGCAGGCAGACATACAGAACCCCATCTGAAAACCCGGCCCTTGTCTCTACTGACCTCCACCGACATGGTCTCAACGTTGACCCTATCGGGGTAGGTCGACACAGGAGAAGGGATGTGTTAAGAAGTAACCATCATGGCAGAAGAGGCAAGTATCACACCAGACCTTGCAGGCGATCCCCAAACCCAAAATGCTCCAGCACTCCCCAAGCCTCACCTCAGGAAGTACCATTCACCCACTCCAGGGCGCAGCGAGAATGCGATCCGAGGAGCCAGGATGACAGCCTGCGGCATTGTGGGTTGGCCGCATGCAGTCAACAGTACATTGACTCATACAAACAGCATGCTTCCTGCCTGATACTCGAATCATGCGACTTTGCTCGGTGAATTTGGGATCCATTCTCCCCGAACCCAAGTCTTACACCCGCGCACCTCCTGCAGGCTCTTCATCAGGATACCAAACTCCGACTTTCGCAGGCTGTGGTTCTGGGTCTCCTCGCAAACCCTCTCCAGTTCATCGTGGAACTTGTGGGGAAGCAGGATGGGCTTGTCCAAGGCGCCCTTGTCGATACACCTACAGTTGACGGGGGCCTCCAGGCTAAGCGCACGTCTCGATCCCGAGCGATCCGGAACATGCGCGGACATGTAGCTCACCTCGTCAGGAGCACGACCAGCTCATTGCGGGAACTTGCAATAGCATTTTTGATCAGGTCCAGGGGACCATACGAGGAGAAGGACACGGATCGGGAGAGGCGTGGGGTGAGTGTGCCACGGGGCGACGATAAGAACGAATTCTGGGGTGATTCCGGAACGACCCCTCGCTTGGCTGCGGTGGACGACGACATACTGCGGTGATTGTGTGGGAAATATTTCGTCAACGTTTAGGGATCAGTACGGTGTCTTTCATGCCGTTAACCCTGGTCATGGTGAAGCGGGAGCGGGGGATCCTGCTATGTATGGATCTAGCAAGAAGTCGCGAAACACCTTGACCTGCAGAACCAGCAGCGGCACTGGATGTGTGAGCGGCTCAGTCCAGTCTCGCCAAATCAGGACGCTTTTCGGCATGAGGGTATCATTAACAAGTACTTATATTAGCTGATACAGACTCTAGGTTTCTTTTGCAGAAGACCCGGGCAGATTGCTCCCCATGCAATCAGTCCTCTCTTCTCCACTCCATTTTCCATGTGATGCGTTATTTAAAGCATTCTTGCAACACACACACACACACACGGCCCCCTCCTCCCCCGCGATAGTTAAGAATCAACATGCAGCAGCCCACGTTTTGGGCTCCTTGAACCTTCTACCGAAGGAAAATGATGGTACTCACCTTGCCAGTATTGTGTCACACAGACCATAACGACATTCTCTGACTCTCAGGAGGACCGCATTAACCAAAACATACACGTCTCGTAAGAGTCCGGGCATTCGTATCCTCCATCCTACACATTTTTCTGCTTGTCGTCTTCCCAGTGACCTCTGGCCTGCAGTGTACGGCATCCGATCCTGCGGTTCGGTGTTGGCCGCATGAACTTCTTCATGCCGCACCGCACCCCCATCTTCGAATCTATGCTACCCGGTTAGCCGACAGACCCATTTGAATGAGTCTGATTCTCGGAGGCTGGCGGGGGGTCGGGTCCCTCTGTCGCGGGCTCGAGTGCAGCGGTACAATCAGGTGAGAAATCCGTCATGAAGCCCATGGGCGCGAATATCATAGGAGCCACTACTTGAATGTATCTTTGCGCACAGGAGGATCGCCTGTGTCCGACGATCGAGTCAGGCTGCGCCTGAGAGGTGAGGTGTCCTGGTGCACACATGGGCTTGCGTTGAATGTGAGTTGCCCAGGTCCTTGTAGGAGTGTTCGGTCTCTTTTGCCGTATACACTACAGTACACATGGATGAAAATTTCAGTTCTTTCATCCTCACGACACATTAACTGGCAGGGTGCATCACAGCTGCCAAGCCATCAACCCAGCCAAGCTTGTCACCACGGGTGTGCCAGGGTTGCCAGTAATGGCTTGAGTTGGTGGTGATCTATCCCTGTGTATGAACCGCTCACTGGCTGGATCTCCTGAACCCCAACCCCCAACGAGATGCAGTCCTGCCATGGAGAGGCGATGCTGGTGTGAGGCAATTTCGGAGGAAACTCAGCCTCGTAGCAGCCTCCCCTACTGACAGCACAAACTACAGCTTGTCCCAGGTGACCTTGGCCATGGTCTCTCGTTGCCTGGGGCTAATTTTGTGCCTCCCCTGGCCTGTTCTGCAGTGGGGAAAGTGATCTCAGGGAAAGGCGCGCGCGCGGACGTTTCATGGGTGTAATTGCCCGCACCAGTTTGGCATCACGATGACGCAAAATGTCGAGCCCATGACTGCTGATCACTGCTGCTCCTGTTTTGGAAATTCTAGCTTACAATTCGCGGACATGACGGACATCTCGGCCTGGCATCCTGTGAGTCTTCCCATTCTAGCCCTCACCCCCCGCGGTCCCGACCGCTGAAGGTGAACCTCAGCATCCATGCCCCCTCAATCCTTTGCTGCAGGTATCTCTGACCCCAAAGAAGCAGATCAATGTCTCGATAGGAAGCGGTTACCCTCAGGATTGGTCGGGGGACCTCCTGGCATTGGGCGTCTTCGAGGGTGATCTCCCGTCCAAAGGTGCGAGCCACGATGGATGCTGAGATTGGACATTGAATCGGAGTCGGACGATTTTTAAATCGTTTGATGAACGTCAGGGCATACCCTTACCCCTTCGGATGCAGAGGGGAGCTTATCCGGATGCCTGGCCACCCTGGATGCAAGCCTGGATGGCGCCATCGAAGATATCATCCAGACATATGAGTTCAAGGGCAAAGAGGTGAGCTGTTGGTGTAGTAGCATTCTATGCTATGAATCGAGCAGCTTGACATGGAGTGTATGGACCCTTGGGCTGAGACTCTGGTAAAGGGTTGGCTGCAGCAAGTTGGCCCGAAATGCTTCCACCTTTCCAGGGAAGCCAGCAGGCGGTGCGCGTGGGCGGCAAGATCAAGAATGTGGTGTTGATCGGGCTCGGCAAGGTGGAGGACGCTGCCCTGGAGGCCAAGTGGGGCCTGTCCCTGTTCCAGACACTGGGTGCAGCGGCCGCTGCCGCTGCCAAGACGACCAAGGCCAGGACCCTTGCCCTGGCACTCACGCAGCTTCCCCCCGTAGACGAGGTACAGAGGCGCGCAGAGGTCTCTCAGCGAATAGGTTTTCATTCTTGCTTGCGCTCTGAGGATCATGTGAGGTTGCCTCACTGGTACAGGCAGAAGCTTTGCTTTCTGTGACCCATCATGCATGCCTGAAGCTGCGAGGCCCTTCCTAAACCCCGCCCTCCATTCCTCCGCGCCAGGGGGAGGCTAGCGGCAAGGCAGCCAATGGCCTCCTGCACGCCATCTACGAGACCAGCCGCTTCAAATCCAGCGAGACGGGCCCCAAGCTGGAGAGCGCGGAGCTGCTCTTCGGTGGAAAGGACGGCGCGGCGGCTGTGCAGCGGGCGCAGGCCTTTGTGGCGGGCGCGACCCTCACGCGCTACCTTGTCGAGGCGCCGCCAAACGTGTGCACGCCCGCTCACCTGGCCCAGGCTGCGGAGGAGATCGCCGAGTCAGCGCCCGACGTCTACCAGCTCAAGGTGCCTGTGGGTGGCTGTGCCTGGCAGTACCGGGGTGGCACTGGGAATGGGCCATGGTGATTGGACCCTCATCCCATGAAGATATGGGTGTGGCTGGCTAGCAGCCCACTTCCCTTTCTTCCCCTTCCCTGGGGGATCTAGCCGCTTTCTCAGTACATGCTAGAAAATCGAGTGCTAAGCTGACAAGATTGCTGCCATCCCGGCGTGCTGCAGGTGCTGGAGAAGGCCGACTGCGAGGCGCTGAAGATGGGTCTGTACCTCGGCGTGGCAGAGGCCTCCGCCCTTCCGCCCAAGTTCATCCACCTGACCTACACCGGTGCAGGTGGGAGCTGGGGAAGGGAGTTCGAGGGGGGGGTGAGGCAGCATATCACTTGGTTCATTGATTGTGCAACAGGCAAGCAGCGGCTTGAGTTGGTGCACCGCACACATCCACGCACCCCACATGCTCGCGCTACTCCACCTCATCATCTCCGATGCCTATGTCTCAGGGGAGATCAAGAGGCGGGTCGGCATCGTGGGCAAGGGCCTCACTTTTGACAGCGGAGGTGGGGGACGTGTGAGGCTGGGATGGTGCGATGGCTTGCCGGGGAAGCAGAGACAGTGTGAAAGTTTTATTCTTCATGTAACCGAGAGCCTGGTCGTTGTATGCTGCTCGTGAGTCCCGTGCTGTGCAGCTGATTGGGTGCGTGGGATGAACTTGCGCCTCGTGGTGACCCTCCCCCTCCCCCCCTCTCCCCCTTGACAAGGTTACAACATCAAGGCGGGGGCGGGGTCCATGATCGAGATGATGAAGATCGACATGGGCGGGTCTGGCGCCGTCCTGGGCGCGGCCAAGACCCTGGCCCTGCTCAAGCCTGAGGGCATCGAGGTGCACTTTGTGATCGCCGCCTGCGAGAACATGGTGGCGGGGGGCGGCATGCGCCCGGGGGACATCCTGGTGGCCTCCAACGGGAAGACGGTGGAGATCAACAACACCGACGCAGGTGCGCTTCCTTCGTGTACAAGGGGGGTTCCTAGGGGAGTCATCGAGATGCGCAAGGACCGTCCACAGTGTCTGTCGTCTTCCGTCGCGTGAATGATGGGCCTTCAGGGGGGGGGGCCATGTAGCCTTTGACCTGCCACAGCCCCCTAACTTGCCGCAGATTCCCCACTTGCCGTTTAGCACCGTCCCTGCGCGAGGAGCCCAGCATTGACAGTGCCATGCTGCTCCACCCCCCCCCACCCCTCTCAAACACCCGACCACGCAGAGGGGCGTTTGACCCTGGCGGACGCGCTGCTGTACGTTCAGAACCAGGGCCAGCTGGACGCGGTGGTGGACATCGCGACGCTGACCGGCGCGTGCATGATCGCGCTGGGCCCCGCCATAGCTGGCCTGTATGGCTCCAGCGACGCGGCGGCCGAGGCGGTTCATTGATTGTGCAACAGGCAAGCAGCGGCTTGAGTTGGTGCACCGCACACATCCACGCACCCCACATGCTCGCGCTACTCCACCTCATCATCTCCGATGCCTATGTCTCAGGGGAGATCAAGAGGCGGGTCGGCATCGTGGGCAAGGGCCTCACTTTTGACAGCGGAGGTGGGGGACGTGTGAGGCTGGGATGGTGCGATGGCTTGCCGGGGAAGCAGAGACAGTGTGAAAGTTTTATTCTTCATGTACCCGAGAGCCTGGTCGTTGTATGGTGCTCGTGAGTCCCGTGCTGTGCAGCTGATTGGGTGCGTGGGATCAACTTGCGCCTCGTGGGGACCCTCCCCCTCCCCCCCTCTCCCCCTTGACAAGGTTACAACATCAAGGCGGGGGCGGGGTCCATGATCGAGATGATGAAGATCGACATGGGCGGGTCTGGCGCCGTCCTGGGCGCGGCCAAGACCCTGGCCCTGCTCAAGCCTGAGGGCATCGAGGTGCACTTTGTGATCGCCGCCTGCGAGAACATGGTGGCGGGGGGCGGCATGCGCCCGGGGGACATCCTGGTGGCCTCCAACGGGAAGACGGTGGAGATCAACAACACCGACGCAGGTGCGCTTCCTTCGTGTACAAGGGGGGTTCCTAGGGGAGTCATCGAGATGCGCAAGGACCGTCCACAGTGTCTGTCGTCTTCCGTCGCGTGAATGATGGGCCTTCAGGGGGGGGGGCCATGTAGCCTTTGACCTGCCACAGCCCCCTAACTTGCCGCAGATTCCCCACTTGCCGTTTAGCACCGTCCCTGCGCGAGGAGCCCAGCATTGACAGTGCCATGCTGCTCCACCCCCCCCCCACCCCTCTCAAACACCCGACCACGCAGAGGGGCGTTTGACCCTGGCGGACGCGCTGCTGTACGTTCAGAACCAGGGCCAGCTGGACGCGGTGGTGGACATCGCGACGCTGACCGGCGCGTGCATGATCGCGCTGGGCCCCGCCATAGCTGGCCTGTATGGCTCCAGCGACGCGGCGGCCGAGGCGGTGGCCGCCGCCGCACGGCGCGCGGGCGAGAAGGTGTGGCGCATGCCGCTTGAGAAGGCGTACGCCGACGCGCTGAAGAGCCCCATCGCGGACTACAAGAACGTGGGCGGGCGGGCGGGGGGCAGCATCCACGCAGCCCTCTTCCTCAACGAGTTCGTGGACACCGAGCGCGTGGCCTGGGTGCACCTGGACGCCGCCGCGCCCGTGTTCAGCGACAAGGACGGCAGCGCCACCGGATTCGGCGCCCAGACCTTGGCGCAGTGGGTGCTGGGCGAGGCGGGCCTGGCCGGATGATGCAGTGCGAGGGGTGGGCAGGTGCATGTGGGGGGAC